CATCATCGGTCATCACACCACAAAATGCTTCATTCTGAAGGAAAATATCATGACATTGGTACGAGAGGGAAATATTATCATTGACGATGGTGAGACAACTGAGACAAATCATGCTAGTGTCAAACTTGATTATGATTCAATTTCAGAAGTTCTACGTCTTGTGGCGTCGCTAAAAATTGAAGAAGATGTCATCATACTGCAGTTTGAGAGCTTTGAACCAGTTGAAGTTTCCGCCTTGAAGAAAAAAACATACACATCCAAGGTAGATGACTTCTCCAATAAAAAGAATGACGATACTTGGATTTTGGTCGCTCACAAAAGGCAAAAACATCAAGGGACTTCTAAACTCCGACTTTCAAAAGTCGGCACAAAATCAAGTACAAATCAGCTTTAACAATGCGAAAGCATAAAATCCAACACCAAATCGAAGTACATTAATGCTTCATCACAAAAGGTTGGAGGACAATTACATTGATGGAATTCTTCCCTGAAATGCTCCTCGATGCACGAGCCTAAACTGCAAGTTGAAATGCTCTTCAACATACGAGCTAAAAACTGCATGTTACAATGCTCCTTAAGGTACGAACATAAACTACATGTTACTCCTGGCCTGCAAAAGTATAAACTGTGTACGGTCCAAAAAAAAAACTCATCATCCTGAACTACGATATGACTTGATCCTCTTCACTGAGGTACGTAGGCACTTGGAGTAATCACTCTAAGCTCAGTCACATGAGTAAAAAAAAGAGGAGTTTGGTGGCATTGCGTGATCATCACACTAGCTCTTTAAAATTATGTAGCTAGCACATGAGTTCAAATGCAACACAAATGAGCAAAGGAGAAGAGTTAAGCAAGACATCTTAGCTGATTTCAAAGGCACATTTGTAAAAATCCACAAAGGTTTTGACCGTGACTTTCACATATATTGCAGTTCTTTAAGTCTACTTCACAACGTAAAAATCGGCTCGTGATTCAGAGGTTTCTACGCCAAGTTATGAAGTTTCTACCACGACAGCTCAAAGCTGCGAAATAGACCATCAGATTTCGAAATTAAACTGAGCAGACTTCAAAGACATATTTGTGAAAATCCGTAAGGGTTTTGGCCGTGATTTTTACGTATGTTGTATGTCTATGAGTTATGCTTCCAATGAAATAAGAATCGCATCATTTCGAGGCTCCTACGCCGAGTTATTGATTTGCTCCCAGAGTTACTCGAAGCTGAAGAGTTGAGCGAGGCAGAATTTGAGCTAACTTTGAAAATATATATGTACATATCTGGAATTCTTTTGGCCGTGATTTTTACATATGTTGTATGTCTATGAATTATGCTTCCAATTAAACAAAAATCACATCATTTCGAGGCTCCTACACAGAGTTATTGATTTTCTCCCAAAGTTGCTCAAAGCTGAAGAGTTGAGCGAGGCAGAATCGTGAGTTGACTCGGAAGCGATATATGTACCAATCCACAAAGTCTTTGTCCGTGATTTTTATACATTGTGTAGTTCTTTGAGTTGTCTTTCCAACAGAAAAAGAATATCATGAATTCAATACTCCTACTTTGAGTTATGAATTTTATACTACAGACGCGCGAAGCTGAAAAGCCGAGAAATACAAAATTGTGACCTGACTTTGAAGCGATATTGGTACTAATCCATATAGTCATTGGCCGTGATTTTTACATATACTGTAGTTATTTGAGTTTTTTTTCCAACGGAACAAGAAGCACATGATTTCCCTATTCATACTCCAAGTTATGAATTTTCTACCATAATTGTGCAAAGTTGGAATCACAAAGTGTAAGAAATTCGAGCTCCATGTACTTCCAAGAAGTCATAAGCTTGGTCCAAGGTCTTCTCCAAATTGAAAGGAAGATGTCAATCCACACTACAGCCTGAACAATGAGATTATCCGCAATCTAGTTCGTTGATGTTTGGAGGCCTACACCAAGTGTTTCTCTCGCCATCCTCACACCGGGTGCTTTTCTCGTCGGAAATGAATTGAAAGTACTTCAAATGTTTCTCTCGTGGAGGGGGATGAAAATGGAGGGGGCAAGTTCTCTTTACCAAGGCTGCAAGGATGGTGAATGCCTCGACTGAGTTTTCTGCCAACATTGCTAGGATGAGATGAGTAGTTCCACTCCAATCATATGAACAACTCGTGCAACTTCTAAGTGATTTAAGCTCTTTTAGAAACCTGAAATGAAAAAAAAAATATTGGAGTTATCGGTGCCAATTGCACGAAGTTTTCAATTTTTTCTTGGTTGATCTACTTCTGATAACACATGTAGTAAGTGCATGACCCTTCAATATGGCATGACAAATATGAGCAGCTGCACAATAATCTTGTTCGACATACCGGTGTCAGTAGCACGAAGCTTTGAATTACGGCCAAATTGGATCTTGAACATCAATCTCCCGTGTCTAAGAAACATGTCAATGCATAAATAAAGATGCAATCACAACCATTACCTGCAAGAAAGAGAAACAAGAAAAATCTAAAAGACACAAATCTGTGAGGAAAACAACAAAATTTGAAAACCAACTTCAAAAATCATTTCTGTCAATTCAGGAAGAGTTTGACATTGATTTTTGGACACTTCACAGTATTACGAGTCTAGTTTCTTGAGAATCAATCCGCTTGTCATTTGAAAGCTCCTACACCAAGAAAAGGATGGTTTTGCGGGATTGCACGTTGCTGTGAGAAGAACTGATTTGGGGTCCAACTTCAAAATTTGATTCCCGTCAATCTGGAAGGTGTTTAACGTTGATTTTTGGATTTATCGTAGTACCAAAAGTCTAATTTCTCCAGAATCAAGCCGCTGGTCGTTTGAATGCTCCTACACCGAGAAAAGGACGTTTTGGCGAGATTGTGCATAACTGTGAGGAGAACTTCCAGATTGGATAACCAACTTCAAAATTCGATTCCCGTCAATCCGGAAGGTGTTTAACGTTGATTTTTGTATATGTCGTAGTACCAAAAGTCTAGTTTCTCCAGAATCAAGTGTCTTGTTGTTTGAATGCTGCTACACCGAGAAAAGGACGTTTTGGGGAGATTGCGCATAATTATGAGGAGAACTTCCAGATTTGATGACCAACTTCAAAAATCAATTCCCGTCATTACAAAAGGTTTTTGACGTTGGTTTTTGGATATGTCATAGTACTATAAGTCTAGTTTCTCCAGATTCAAGTCGCTTGTCGTTTGAATTCTTTTATACCAAGAAAAGAGCATTTTGGTGGGACTGCACGAAATTGAGAAAAAAACAAATCAAATTTGGAGTTTCACATTGATTTAGTTAGGAGAATCATTATTTTTTCAATGATCCTTTGATCAATCCTTTGTACATGAGAGATTCTTATATAGAAGTTTCTTTGAACAACTCTCATTCTTTGTACAAGGAAAGTTGTGGTAAGATTGGAAGGGGAAATCATATCAATTCTTACCCATCTAAATGGAAGTTGCCAGCACTCAAAAGGAAAGCAATAAGTCTTGAGATGTCAAGAATGTTTCTTACAAAATCAACCAAAGGAAAGTTGATATTCTTTTTATTTGATTCAAAATCCAATCAATCTTCTTGTTCTTTCTCACGCCATGCAAGGAAGATCACACAATGTTACTACTCACTAGACCCATCTATTTGAAATTAATATAGAGGGACCACGTGGTTGTCAAGAAAAAATGTTTAAAAAATAAATAAATTTGAGATCACTACAAACAAATCATTTGTAGTGACCTAGTTAGAATGCGACGACAAGAAACAAATACTCTTGAAGTCTCAATAATGCATTCATAAAGACTTCAACTTTCATCGTCAAAATTCAGCAAGCCTACACGTAGAGAAGTCTTAAAAAAATGAATACACATTCATGAAGACTTTAACTTTCGTCGTCAAATTTGACAAGCCAACACGTTGACAAGTCTCAAAAAAGGAAACCACATTCATGAAGACCTCAACTCTCGTCGTCAAATTCGGAAAGCATACACGTTGACAAGTCTCAAAAAAGGAAACCACATTCATGAAGACTTCAACTCTCGTCGTCAAATTCGGCAAGCCTACACGTTGACAAGTCTCAAAAAATGAAAACACATTCATGAATACTTCAAGTCTTGTCACCAAGTGTCGGCAAACCTACTCTTCAGCAAGGGCAATAACGAATCACAATGCGCCAAGTGTCAAAATGACATCCTTTGGCCAATCACAAGCAACCTTGTCCACTCCTTACAACTATAAATAAGGGATAGACATGACATTCAAAAGGATCAAGAAAACTCTTCAACAAGCATTCTGCAAGGATTGGAGAAAGCTACAACACAGCTACATAACTCTTCGAAGGAGTGGTCAACGGAGTTCTTCCCGGAGACGACTTGCAACGACGAAGTGCTTCTCGACGTTCCCGAAGATCAAATACATCTCAAGGAGGTCTACATCATCCTACATTCGAGAAATACGCTATTGAACGCCCTCGAATCAAGAGAACAACAGAATTGTACTCACAAAGATTCATCAATTAAAATCACATTTTCTTTTATTTATTTTGCTTGCAGTTAATTTTCAGCGCTTACGAAAATTTGTTGCGAACATATATATTTTAGGACTCCTTAATTTTAAACATTATAAAGATAATTAATTAATGGGAAAAGGGATAAATATACCCCAAACTATCGTAAATGGTATGCAGATACCATTCGTCATATTTTTGGGATATTGGTACCCCTGTCATCCAAAAACTAGATCATATATGCTATTTACCAAAAATGACTACACTTTTTATAATTTTTTTCAATTTTTTTATTTATACAATGATACAATTATTATTACAATGCACTAAATAAGGTAATTTCTTGTTGCAGTGACTGAATGCCCCCTAATTACGTTTCTAAAACTCTCAACTTCCCATAATTAAATTTTAAAAAAAAAAACAAAAACAATAAATTTGGTCCGGTAAAGATCCAAAAGGCTGGGCTCTCACATAGTTCAGAGGCCCACCATACACGGTTGGGCCTCTTCCTCATACAAGCCCACATAAGCTAAGGTATGTCAGTTAAGTCTCTCGTTCTTCTTCTCTCCGATGTTGAGCTCGGAGCTGCGATGGCTTTGAGAAATCGTCAGCTATGGCAGCAAACGAAGATGATTTACAAAGTGACGATGGATTACTATAGATTCTTCAGTTCGAAACCGAAAGTAGATTTGAGGAAGCTAAGGCCAATGATTCTGAAAAGGATTGAGGATCGGGCGAAAGATTATCCAGTAAAATCCATGGTTCCTGTTGCTGAAGGCGTCTTTAAGGCTCGAACAATACTCTACCATGGCGTTTCCGCATTAATGCAACGTTTCCCAACTTGGGCATGCAAGTAATTCCGTCCCCTTTTCCTCTTTTTTTTTGATAAAAAAGTTTGACATGTTTTGGGAAGAGATTGGTGTTAAAGCTGTTATCTTTATTGAATTTAGATCTAAGGGTAGTTCTTTTTATGCATAATTGTGCGATTAAGAAATTACTCCATGAAGGTACTTTTCTGATACTATCCTTTTTAGTTGTCATGTTGCATTTTGGAGAGTAAATTTGACTTATTTTCAAAGCTAGACTAGATTATGTTCATTCGATATTTTAAAATGAAATTTTTGATATTCAAAAACTATGAGGAAAGTACTATCAATTACAACTTTTTTCTTATCAATATGATAAAAAATACATCTTATATATGATAAGAAATACAGTGAAGAAGAAAAAACTCATTATCAGAGCTTATGTAAGCATTCTTGTTATCATAAATAAGAATCATTGAAAGTGAATTATCATACATAAGCATTAGGTGGTGCTTGAGCAATGCAACAACAATGTTTGCTCATATCACATCCACAACTTTCATAATGAAAATGATCTCTACAATAGGCCACACAGTCTTCACCAGTTGAACATTCCGATTTATCATACAAATGATTCTGTTTTTCAACCTCCAAAGATTTTACCATTTGGCTGAAATTACAAAAAACCAAGCAAACCAAAACAAGGAAAATCAATATACCCTTTGCCATCACAAGTTTGAAGCAAGGCTTATAGGTATTTTTTCCTATGATAAAAGCTTAATGTTATACATGTATTTATACAATATGAAAACATAGCAACATATACATTAAGAATTTAATGAAAAAATATTATTAGTATCTCAAAAATAATAAGAATTATACCTGCTATTAATTTTGGTCAAAAGAATTAAGTATATAATTGAAGAATCTGTTGAATAATATTATTAGTATCTCAAAAATAAAAAGAATGATATCTGCTATTAATTTTGGTCAAAATAATTAATTATGTATTTATTAGCATTAATAACAACATTATCTGCTCTTATTTTTGGTCAAAATGTAACTGATTGCAAGCTTGCCTATGGGCTGGGTTTTGGAGATGTCATGGGTCCTCATGGGTAGTGGTGGAACCAGAATTTTTAATAAGGGGGTTCAAAATCTGAAAAAATAGACACACGAAGTAGTTGAAGGGGGTTCAACATCAATTATATATACCTAAAAAAAATATTTTAACCATATATAAATAATATAATTTTTCGCCGAAGGGGGTTCATCTCTAATGTGGCTCCGCCACTGCTCATGGGCATACATAATTTGTTTGCTTCTGAATGAAATAATTTGGTATAGCCAATTATGTATGAGATGCATTGAACATTTTGTAGCTTTTTGAGTGTTTAGACACAACATGACATAGTTTCAGCTTATCAAGGACATGACCTTAGACATGAGGTAGTGGACGACAAGGATTAGGCTAGAAGATTAGTAGGTAGTAGTGCACTATCTTGCTATCCATCCGCCCATACTTGTAGTTGTAGTATTGTTCTGGTAGTTTCTTGTCCTTTGATTTCTTTTGTTACTATAAAGTTCCCTATTTGATTTCTAGTTCATTGGAGACCTGTTTAGTGTAATCTTGCGCTGTTTTGTCAATCAATTTTACTAGTTAGATATGTTTTTTTTTGAAGAGTTCATTTTTTAAAGAGGATATCATAAGGTTTGTATGGTGAAAGTATGTGTAGGGATGTATGGTAAGTAACCTGCTTGAATTTGATATATTGATGTTGAAGCAAAGAGGTACTTCAAATATTTTCAGGCTTTGGCATTAATAAATAAAAAGGGGGAATTTCAGCCTTTAAATAAGTACAAGAGTAAGTGCAAGCAGCACAAAGAGAGCGGAGTAAACGCAAGACAACAACATGGCAAGAATTATAAATGCGAAAAAAAAAGGGATTAAATCAATACAACAAGAAAAAGTGAAGGTACTTAGCAAAGTGTTGAGATGTCTACAACTGAAGATTTGGTTAAAGCTGGGGCATGCCCATGTTTATTACATCTCTTTTTAGTAGAAGCTAGGGAAAACTTGACATGTCCGACTTGTTTCTTCATAATATTTATCTGAAAATATTAGCTTTGGAAATTGAGGCATTGTTGTTGAATATTGCTCTAAAAAGGTCAAGAATGAGAATTTATTTAGCAGTTGGATCATCTGTTGTGTAAATGCTTTTATTTGATTTGGCTCTTTTTGGCATCTTTATGTGCGAATTCTAGTTATAAAAAGCCATCATCTGATACAATTGCATTTGGCACAATATTTTCTTCTTTCAATGGTAGTGAAAGAAAGGTGGTAGCCGAGACTTTTTTCTAACCTCCAAAGGGTTATTTTGTTGTAGATACTGTCCAGAAGTATATATTGGTGAGAATGGTCATTTGATACAAACTTGTCATGGTTACCGGCGGCGTGCTAAGAATCAGGCTCATGAGTGGATTAGAGGAAGCTTGAATGATATTCTAGTGCCAGTAGAGGCATTTCATTTGCGAACTATGTTTCAGAATATCATCAATCACCAAGAAAGATTTGATTATGATCGCATTCCAGCAGTTGTGGAACTGTGCTTGCAGGCAGGAGCTATTCCAAGTGAAGAAATTGTATGCGGAAGTAGTTTGCCCTCAAGTGTTCCTTTTCAAGCTGACTCTTTGTCTGACGATGATTTGATGTTGTTGGGAAGAGAAACCTTGAAGGCATGGGAAGCACTTAGATCTGGAGTTCAGAGGCTATTGTTAGTATATCCAGCAAAGGTCTGTGAACATTGCTCAGAAGTTCATATAGGACCTTCTGGACACAAGGCTCGTCTTTGTGGTGTATTTAAGTTTGAAAGTTGGCGAGGAAGTCACTTTTGGAAGAAGGCAGAAGTGGATCATTTGGTTCCTTCAAAAACAGTATGGTACCGCCGACCCCAGGATCCTCCATTACTTCTGGATGACGGGCGGAACTATTATGGGCATGCTCCTGCTGTTGTTGATCTGTGTACTAAGGCTGGAATTATTGCTCCTTCCAAGTACCATTGCATGATGAAACTTGAAGGTCTATCAGCCCCATCTCTGTGAAAGGAGTGATGGGATCTTTTCTTGATCTTATCAGTGCAGTTTAACCAACAAGCAGAAGGTGAGTCTAAATTGGGTAATTCTTCTGATGCCGGACTGACTTTTGTTATTCAGGCAACCCTAAAACTTTAATGGATATAGAATGAAGATTGGGTGGGGTTATGTTGTGCTCAAAATCGTCTCTAACACCAAAATATTTCATGAAGGAATATCTTGTTGATATTCACAGGAGATTTACTCGTATTATACTTGAGCAATTCTCATCAATGGAGCATTATATTTTGGTTGACTAGCCACTTAAATCCGTCTCTGGGTTCTTGAAGATCCAAATAGGGAAATAAGGAAGTACAATGATGCAGAAGGAAGAGAAAATGCAGCAGAAAGTGTGATGATCTCAGGACTTAGTTTTTACTCGTCATGGTCAGGAATACCATTGCTCAGGCAATATAGTTCCCATTGCATAGATTATGCATCTTTCAGCATTTCTAGTTAAATATACATAATCTTTTTAAGAGTGAAAGCAGTTTTTTAGTTGATTGTCTCACAGCAACTGTTCTTATGTTCTCAGCGGATACTCCTATCTACTTTAGTGGACTGAAATTGTAGCCTATCTAGGCTACCGAAAGTGTCATCCAGTGTCTGATTCATATACTTCCTGGTGATAGGTAACATGATATTTGTCAGCAGGTGATTTGCAGTGAAATGGAAGTGGATCTCTGTTTGGAAGAAACTATCTTTACAAGTTGAATATGTCCTCCAAGTGTCCAACGGCTCACATACATCATTATTGTAAAGTTTAGAGTCATTTTGTAATAGATATCGTCAACCCAGTGTCATGGCCTTTGAACTCTTGAGATGTTTTGATACATATAGTAACTTTTGTCGCTATAATTTAATAGGTTCTGTACTGTTTAGTTTTGAGTTATCAAGTTAGATTGGCTGAACGTACTTTGGCAGCTCCTAGTCAAACCACGTTTCGATACTTGTGAAAAAGAAGTCCTATTGCTCATTTTGTGGGAATTGTTTTCATCACTAATCAGTTCAGCTTGGCTAGTGCTTTCTGTCGTTGTGTGACAAATGGGAAATTTATCATCAGTTAAATCTGTAAGGACTAAGGTTGTTTTTGTAACCCAAAGTTATCTGAGCTCTTGATGCCAATTGAAAAGTTTTACCACCATTCATTTAAAGCAAGATTTATGAAGCCCAAATAACAAGATTTAATTATGATTATTGACTGCCTCCTAATATCAACATTTTCCCAATTATGTCTTGAAAGTGTCACATTTTTTATTTAAGTTTCCACTGCATAATTTTGCATCCAACTGCATCAAAATGACTGCCTGACATAACCTCATTTGATATTTGTGCTATGATTTCTGGTCAACATTCATGCAAAGTTAACCAACTATATTGGCCAATCCAATAGTGTAACATGAAGAAGATGAAATGATCCTGCTTTAACCTGCATGAGTTGAGTTCTCACAAGAATGCTATTTTTCAGGCAATTCAAATAGTAAGACTCTCTCAAGAATGCAATTCCTGTGAAAACCTTCTTTATAATCCATGAAAATTTCCCCAAGAACAAGCACTTAGGACACACAAAGAAACAAGCAATAAACACAAACAAGCGAAAAAATGCAGGTGGTAGTCGAGATTATGACGGGGACAATCTTTCACATCCAAGTAGGTGACAATGCAACAGTGTTAGATTTGAAGATAGCAATACACAATCAACAAAATGTTCCAGCTAATCGCATCCTCCTGCTACTTGACATAGGTGACGATCATCTCTTAATGAATGATGATCAAAAACCCCTTAGTGAATACGGGGTCCAAGATGGATCTCGTTTTCAGCTGATCTTTAAACCCTTTGAAGCTGAAAAAGACAATGATGATGCTGAAAAAGACGATGATGACACTGAAACTGAAAAAGACGATGATGACACTGAAGCTGAAAAAGACGATGATGATGCTGAAGCTGAAAAAAACGATGCTGCTGCTGCTGCTCATCATGATTCTTTTGCTGCTGCTTATGCTGCTATTGTTGGTAGTCCTCTTCCTGATCTTGATGATTCTGGTGATGACATGGGCACAGAGGATGAAAGAGATGACAATAGTAGTGATGACAGTGGCAGCACCACTCCTAAAACTCCACATGAAGAGAGTACTGCTGAATCACCCGAGTATATATCAATCTCAGATTAGCTATATGAATGAACTCCTACAGTGTCCATTCTGACTTTTCCAGTCTTATTTCACTCCAAAGACAATTCTGTTACAGCAACTAAGTTATAAAGTCTAGAATTACTTCTTAACTATTTTTCTTCTTATGTTAACTCAGAAACATGTATTACGTATTCCGAAAACAGGCCTCATATTGGCATCTGTATTGGGCATCTCCCTTTTTCTAGTATTGTAATGAAAATGATGCTCTCAATACTTCATATTTCACTGTCCAGAAAATGTGAATCTACCAACCTAAGATGCATATGTTAAGAGATCAATGATCATCGACTAGAAATATAATGATGTGAGTGGTATAAATAATAGTAATACATAATATAGTAAGTCAATATCACGCGATATAAACAACACCAACCAGCATTTAAGTACCAAACACTAAACTTATTCAGGTGCAACACCCTAAACCACACTAACTGAGTAAAAGCTTGTGTTATATATATACACACACATTCATACATAAGATCTACTTTGAAGTACCTAATCAAGAAATAACCTTTAAAAACGCCGGTCAAGTAATTTGTAACTATTGCTCAAACAAATCCATGCCGTCTCATGCCAAACAGGAAGGGACAATACCAGTTTGTCAAAGGATACCACAACACAGGGTTGAAGCTGCATCACAAACTCTAGTGCTAAAAGAAGTCAAGATGCCTCAATACCTAAACTAAATAATAGTCATCTAAAATGTCTATATGCATCATAAAAAGAACAATATCAAATAATAGCTATATGGCTTTAAATGAGGACGATAACTAAATAGGCTTGTAAGGTGATCATTTCCTTTTGCAAACAGAGTCGTTACTTCAATGCCTTTGCTACTAGAATCCTGCTGTGCTTCCAGTAGCCACTCAAGAGACAAGATGAACCAAAGAATATAATATGGAAGCTACTTATTAGCAAGCCACTAAATAAGAAAAGAACAAATACTGCAAAATTTTCGAATAAAACTACTACTGTGGTGAAAGAGATAGGAGTTCTGAATGTAGTTGATAAGAAGTTGGTATTACACATTGAGTTCTCAAAAAAGAGGTTGGTATTACACATTGATCCAAAAGGGGAATCAACTGAGCCTACCTGTATGAAAAGACAAATAGCAAGACATAGAATATCACTGGCCTAGATCTCAATCGAAGGTCCATTTCAGCAGCTGCTACTATACTGAACCATCTGGGAATGCATCCAGAGCATCCTGCTTGCCATTGACATAGTACTCAACAACTGCTTTCATTCTAGGAAATTTGTCCGGGTGATAGTTTACATGAACTATAACTGGTTTCAACTTCTTCAGATTAGCATCTTTTCTTACAGTCTTGAATAGGACCTTGCTATTCATGAACAGGTAGATATCCATTGTTCTCCTGGAAGCATAAAGGCCAATATACCCAGGATGTGATGGAAAAGCCAGCTCTTCATTAAAAACTGCCTGGTCCCAGGAATTTGGTTGAGTAGTAAGCCGATCAGCAACCCGATCTAAGAGCTCGATTGAAGGAATCGTTGGCCGAATATAAAAGAAACCAGAATTATAAACCCATATCCTCATTGTATGTGCATATCGAGCCCAACCCATTGATGGTTCATCAAAAACATCATTATAACCATAAGCTGTCATATTATTGTGACCATCTGACATTGATTCAACATCTGAATCACGATATAAATGATCAAAAGGATTTTGCAAATACACAATATCGACATCAGAAAGGAGGACACCGTAACCAAGCTGCAAAAACTCCCTCAAAATTCGGAACTTCAACCCTGAGACAGCGTGGTTGCCTCCACTTTTTCCAATAAAATCAACATTCTCATCGGGGTCCCTTTTATAAACTGGGACGTCATTTTCCTTGCAGAACTCCACTATAGTGTCATCTAAAGCCACGACCAGATAATTGGGAATACCCACTTTTTTAATACTGTTGAACCAAACCTCCAACATGGATTTCACATTTGAATTAGCAAGTGCAACTATGACCTCTTTGCCAACTGCAATCTCTGCCAAGAGCTTTGCTAATCTTGGGTTCACTGACTCATCAGGCATAACAGGAGGGTTAGTTCTCAAACTTTTGACAGTTCCAAAAGGCCCAGCTTTCTGAGGTTGACTCGACACCACCAGTTGCTCCTGTGTACGACCATTTCCCTGCTGAGCCGCCTGAAGCTTTTGATTTAGCTCTCTCACCTGCTTTTGCAACTCTGCATTCTTCTCAGACAACTTCCTATTTTCAGATTTCATCATGTTTACCCCCTCCGTGGATTCACAGTTGGGCGAGTCAACCTAGGAATCAAATTGAATCTCTAATTAAGGAGCTATTAAAATAATTCAACACTTATCAAGCAACGTCCACACGTTATATCCAGTCCCAGCATAAAAACGACAACCATAATTAACATTTGTCGTTTTGTATATAAATGAAGATATACACACGCAATCTAACAAAGGATACCAGCTGACTAAATTCCTAACAACACCCTAATAACTTCATATACACCACCTCAATGCAATTCAAAGACAGAGTAACAATACAACTCTAAGAAACAACTACATTAATTAACCTCAAGAAAAACAAAACTCCCCTAAGCTCTTACTATCTTACTTAGTCCAGTACAACACATACCCATAACAATCCCACAAGCGGTGTCTAGGAGACTAGGATGTACACGGACTTTACCCTTACATTGCTCTTACTTAGTCCAATACTACAACAACATACCAACATAACAAGTGTAATCCCACAAGTGAGGTTTGGGAAGGGTAATACGTACACAAACCTTACCATACCTTTGCTCTTACTTATTCAGTACAACAACAACACACCCAGTGTAATCCCCCAATTGGAGCCTGCGAAGATACGATGTACGCACACCTTACCCCGTCTTCGCTCTTACTTAGTCTAGTACAGCAACAACACATCCAATATAATCGCACAAGTGGAGTCTGGAAGGGTAGGATGTATGCACAGCTTACTACATCTTCGCTCTTACTTAGTCTACTACAACAACAACAACAACAATATACCCAGTGTAACCACGGAAATGGAGTCTGGGGAGAGGTACACAGACCTTACACCCCACCACCTTTGCTCTTAGTCTAGTAACCACCTTAAATTCAGAGGTCAATACAAGATAAATAACACAATTCTATCACAACCCCATTATATAAGTAACCAAATTGACTGAAAACTCACCTGAAGATTAGATTTAGAAACAGGGCGACTTTGAGACCTTGGATCGGGAGAGAAAAATCCATTAGGATACAAGAAAGCAAACACACAACCCAACAAAACTCCGATCGCAATTGCTCCAGCAATTCGAGATCCTCTTATAGATTGACCATACTTCTCCCTACGACCCGCCATTTTCTCTTCACTTTTCAAGACAAAATATCCC